AGGAGGCCAGGAGATAGGAGGACACGCCCACCCCTCCTGGGCGCACCCATTGTCTCCTGGGCCCCTCGAGCGGCCACCGACGTACTTCTTCCTCCTATATATACCCACGTACCCCGAAAACATCCAGGGAGCCAACGAAAAACAATTTCCACCGTCGTAACATTCTGTATTCGTGAGATCCCATCTTGGAGCCTTCACCGGCGCTTCGCCGGAGGGGGAATCGACCACGGAGGGCTTTTACATCAACACCATAGCCCCTCCTATGAGTTGTGAGTTGTTTACCACAGACCTTCGGGTCCATAGTTATAAGCTAGATGGCTTCTTTTCTCTTTTTGGATCTCAATACAATGTTCTCCCCCTCTCTTGTGGAGATCTGTTCGATGTAAACTCTTTTTGCGGTGTGTTTGTAGATATCCGATGAATTATGGGTTTATGATCAAGTTTATCTATGAGAAATATTTGAATCTTCTCTGAATTCTTTTATGTATGATTGAGTTATATCTTTGCAAGTCTCTTCGAATTATCAGTTTGGTTTGGCCTACTAGATTGATCTTTCTTGCCATGGGAGAAGTGCTTAGCTTTGGGTTCAATCTTGCGGTGTCCTTACCCAGTGACAGCAGAGGTTGCAAGGCACGTATTGTATTGTTGTCATCGAGGATAAAAAGATGGGGTTTATATCATATTGCTTGAGTTTATCCCTCTACATCATGTCATCTTTCTTAATGTGTTACTCTGTTCTTATGAACTTAATACTCTAGATGCATGCTGGATAGCGGTCGATGTGTGGAGTAATTGTAGTAGATGCAGGCAGGAGTCGGTCTACTTGTCATGAACGTGATTCCTATATACGTGATCATGCCTAGATAATCTCATAATTATTCGCTTTTCTATCAATTGCTCGACAATAATTTGTTCACCCACCGTAATACTTATGCTATCTTGAGAGAAGCCACTAGTGAAACCTATGGCCCCCAGGGTCCATATTTTATCATATAAGCTTTCAATCTACTTTTATTCGCATCTTTACTTTTTGCATCTATCTTATAAAATACCAAAAATATATTTATCTTATCATACTATCTCTATCAGATCTCACTTTCGCAAGTGGCCGTGAAGGGATTGACAACCCCTTTATTGCGTTGGTTGCGAGCTCTTTGTTTGTTTGTGTAGGTGCGTGGGACTTTTGAGGACCCTCCTACTGGATTGATAACTTGGTTCTCAAAAACTGAGGGAAATACTTACGCTATTATTGCTGCATCACCCTTTCCTCTTCAAGGAAAGCCAACGCAAGCTCAAGACATAGCACCAGACTATATGATTTTGTAGGGATAGCTTTCTTTCGCCATGTTATTTTGAGAAGACATGATTGCTTTGTTAGTATGCTTGAAGAATTATTGTTTTCATGTCAATATGAACTTTTATCTTGAATCATTTGGATCTAAACATTCATGCCACTATGAAGAAAATTACATTCAGAATTATGCTAGGTAGCATTCCACATCAAAAATTCAGTTTTTATCATTTACCTACTCGAGGACGAGCAGGAATTGAGCTTGGGGATGCTTGATACGTCTCCAACGTATCTATAATTTTTGATTGTTCCATGCTATTATATTACCAGTTCTGGATGTTTATGGGCTTTACTATACACTTTTATATTATTTTTGGGACTAACCTATTACCCGTAGGCCCAGCCCAAATTGCTGTTTTTTTGCCTATTTCAGTGTTTCGAAGAAAAGGAATATCAAACGGAGTCCAAATGGAATGAAACCTTCGGGAGAGTTATTTTTGGAACGGAAGCAATCCAGGAGACTTCGAGTGGAAGTCAGGGAAGCTTCGAGGTGGCCACGAGGCAGGGAGGCACGCCCTAACCCCTGGGCGAATCCCCACCCTCGTGGGCCCCTTGTGGCTCCCCTAACTGACTTCTTTCGCCTATATATGTCCATATACCCTAAAAACATCGGAGAGCACAATAGATCAGGAGTTCCACCGTCGCAAGCCTCTGTAGCCACCAAAAACCAATCAGGACCTTGTTCCGGCACCCTGCCGGAGGGGGGATCCCTCACCGGTGGCCATCTTCATCATCACAGCACTCTCCATGACGAGGAGGGAGTAGTTCACCCTCAGGGCTGAGGGTATGTACCAGTAGCTATGTGTTTGATCTCTCGCTCTCGTGTTCTTGATTTGGCACGATCTTGATGTATCGCGAGCTTTGCTATTATAGTTGGATCTTATGATGTTTCTCCCCCTCTACTCTCTTGTAATGTATTGAGTTTTCCCTTTGAAGTTATCTTATCAGATTGAGTCTTTAAGGATTTGAGAACATTTGATGCATGTCTTGCATGTGCTTATCTGTGGTGACAATGGGATATCACGTGATCTACTTGATGTATGTTTTGGTGATCAACTTGCGGGTTCAGTGACCTTGTGAACTTATGCATAGGGGTTGGCACACGTTTTCGTCTTGACTCTCCGGTAGAAATTTTGGGGCACTCTTTGAAGTACTTTGTGTTGGTTGAATAGATGAATCTGAGATTGTGTGATGTATATCGTATAATCATGCCCACGGATACTTGAGGTGACATTGGAGTATCTAGGTGACATTAGGGATTTGGTTGATTTGTGTCTTAAGGTGTTATTCTAGTACGAACTCTATGATAGATCGAACGGAAAGAATAGCTTCGTGTTATTTTACTATGGACTCTTGAATAGATCGATCAGAAAGGATAACTTTGAGGTGGTTTCGTACCCTACAATAATCTCTTCGTTTGTTCTCCGCTATTAGTGACTTTGGACTGACTCTTTGTTGCATGTTGAGGGATAGTTATATGATCCAATTATGTTATTATTGTTGAGAGAACTTGCACTAGTGAAAGTATGAACCTTAGGCCTTGTTTCCTAGCATTGCAATACCGTTTACACTCACTTTTATCATTAGTTACCTTGCTGTTTTTATATTTTCAGATTATAAAAACCTATATCTACCATCCATATTGCACTTGTATCACCATTTCTTCGCCGAACTAGTGCACCTATACATTTTACCATCGTATTGGGTGTGTTGGGGACACAAGAGACTCTTTGTTATTTGGTTGCTGGGTTGCTTGAGAGAGACCATCTTCATCGTACGCCTCCCATGGATTGATGAACCTTAGCTCATCCACTTGAGGGAAATTTGCTACTGTCCTACAAACCTCTGCACTTGGAGGCCCAACAACGTCTACAAGAAGAAGGTTGCGTAGTAGACATCAATATACTCCGTCTCCATTCTTCTGGCAACTTGTTTGCCTTAAAAATGAGGTTGAAAAGCTTGGTTATCCATACTATCGCTATGTCCCCGAGGCCTTTCCATACCTCAATTGCGATACAATCAGGGCCCATCGCCTTGCCTTGTTTCATCCTTTTTAGCGCCTCCTTGACCTCAAACTCCTGGGTTTGCCGCACAAAACGCGTGCTAGTCTCATCAAAGGAGTCGTCCAGTTCAATGGTAAAATATTATCAATAGAAAAAATAAGCACCATAGAAGATGTGAATCTCTTGATACTTAAGTGGGTAGGCAGCATTAATCAAGAAAAGGTAATTAAGAATGCGTCCATTCATTGATATGGCTAGAAGAAGGGACCTTTACATACCGGAATTTCATATTTAGATTTAAGTCTTGGTAGGGAATTTCTCGAAAACCTATTCAATGATACAAAGGTGGAGTGGATCAAAGAGGAAAAACACCAATTTTGGCATGAAAGCCCATACATGGTTTTTTATCGGTGTTGTGACCTGACATGCCAAGGAATTTATTTAAAAACCTAATGCACTTTTATATTAAAAAGAACAACCTAATGCACTTGCATGTTTCATTATGATTTTCATTTTTGCTATGATGACATATACAGGGTGTAAATTTAATCAAAATATAGTTTAGTGAAAGGCCATATAGTTAGCATCGGAAAGGGTTAATCTAGCCGCGCAAATGCGCGGGAAACCCTGCTAGTTAACACTATTTATATAGTGAATTCCTCCTCTCCCTCTATTTCTAGGTTATCAAGTTGGCTTGTTGATTTCCAGGCAATTTGCAATCACATATAAATTAGCGTTTTCTCATGCAAAGAATCAAGGTTGGACAATTTAATGAAATAATGGACCTATTTGGTAGCACAAGCGCATGCTAAGTCAGTTTGTTGTGGCTTTTGGGCATGGAGGGGACATCATGAGTTTGAATCTCACAAAACGCAACCGTTTCCTCGTTCTTTGCAAAAAACACAACGGACGAACCTCGCATAAACCTGGACCGCGGGTTAATTAAAGAAAAAAGTAGGGTATTTTCTTGCAAAACATGAGACGGATGGGCATAAATGCTCCGTATTTTATTAGTAGGTATAGATAGATAGATAGATAGATAGATAGATAGATAGATATAAATAGATATACATAAAGATAGCATATAGATACGTGGGTTGTCGTTGTACTATGTGCTTTTTTGCTAGTTATGCTATGATATAAATTTTTTTCTGCATGTTGTTTTCTTGCAATTTGCTTATCTTCATCTGAAAGAGTCCTGACTAAATCTCACTTGTCTTAAGCCGTCTGATTTAGTTTGCACACCATTTGTTTATTGGATTTACTTTTTTCAGTTTTTAAATTTTTCCATGTCAGTGCTATTACAATTCTACATGACTGTCATCCCACAACTGGCAAATCACCAACTCGGTGATGTGTGTTAAATAAACAAGTAGGCGATGTGCATGTAGATGAAAGAGCATAATAGACAATCGAGTCAAAGCACCACAACCAAAGGATTTGAACTTTGTAAATATGCAAGCAACTAGTTACTCGGATTTCTTTCATCAAATTTTTCCTTGTTGGATCTCCACGGAAACATACGGGCTATCTAATGTTTAATTGGCACCTAATTGCCCAAACCATATAAGGTGCCTTTTATTACCGATGGACAAATTTTCGGAGCATATGGAATTCTATCCCAGAGACCCCGATGAAGGTGGGCATTAACCGTTGTAGGAATGGCACTTCTGCAGGCACTCACTCTTCGTCTTGTAACATTCGCCATTCTTATTCTGGCAACAGTAGCACTTAGCACGGAGCTCAAAGTTGAAATAACATACGAGATAGAGGCTGCAAAATAGCTCGGTTTTCTTGCTCTCGCCTACAGATGTTGAGTTGACGATGGTAGCGTTGGTACTTGTGTTCGCTGCATGATCATCTTGGTTGACCATCGTTTGCTTATTATCGACAGCACCTGTATAGTATATTTAACCTTAGTATGCAGTACTTCAGATGTGTGTGTGTGTGTATGTATGTCTGATCCGAAGAATTAGTGGCAAGAAGTTAACACAAGATTCTAAAAACGATGATGATATATACTTACACTGTGCACAAAGCACAAGGCATCCAATGAAGAATATCATGGTCGCCTGCACTAGGCTGCTCCCTTTCATATTGTTAGTCGAGTGTAAGGATCCAGTAGGAAATAGTTGGACTCCAAATGTGGCAGACACGGACGACAAGTCTATAAATAGCAAGGGTTGGAAAATATTTTAAATATTCATTAATGTACTACAAAAGATTGCAAGTGCACGAGATATATGTTCATTAATGTCGAGATTTTTGCACATATATATACACATACTAATAGGCACTCCCAAGAAATTCCCACATTAATTAGAGAAAAATATAAAACGGAGGCCGTTGATTTTTTGGGTCAAGATTATAACTGTGTAGATCTAGTTTTTAATCATAGAAACGGAAAAAATTAGAACGGCTTTAATTCTCACGTATCTCTCTTATCTCTCTATTTCTCGTGCGTAGCCCTTTAATTATAGAAAAAGAAAGAAATTAAAACCTCTTTAATTTTCACGTATCTCTCTCTCTATCACTCTATTCCTCACGTGTCTCTCTATCAAAGTCCGCTTTAATTCTCATGTATCTCTCTATATCCCTATCCCTCACACGTATCTCTCTACATCTCTCTATTTTTCACGTGTCCCTGTATCGAGTCTCTATGCCAACCTCAGTTCTACTCTATCTCACATGTCTCTCACAAATTCTCAGGCCTCTTTCTCATGCATATCTTCTTATCAGGGTGCTGACACAAGGGGCACAAGTGTTTCTGCCTCCCCTGTTGCCTCTCGGTACTACGGTAGATTACGCTACAGAAGCAGTGCAGGCCGGCACTGGCACCGAGTTCATAAAGCCATGCATAGCAGCTTTGGTGAGGGCACTCTGATGGGACCTGGTGACAGTCTCACCATTTGCAAGTACAGAAAGGTGTTGTAGCACCCGGGAGTCCCGAACCCCTTTTATCTGGTCATTCAATGTTGATGAGATTGGTGAAGGGGTCAGTCGAACAGCAGCCGTGGTATCATATTAATCCTATCCATTTTGACCGAGCCAACAGCGGTACTCCTAGGGACAAGCTGGGTAGGTCTACGCATGTAGGCAGAGGCCCTCTCTCGAGCAGGTCTGGCAGGTTATGCATGCGGTTGTGCCACATATGGCGAGGTGAACAAGGGCCTAAGACGTCTAGTGTTTAAACAACTCTATTCTCTCAATGTCATACTATTAAAAACCGGGATAGTCATGAACAAGAGAATATGCCAGATCTGAACGTATCTTTCTTATCTCTCGGTGGCTTTAATTCTCACGTATCTCTCTTATCTCTCTCTCTTTATCATGCGTATCTCTTTAATTACAAAAAAGGAAAAAAAAAGTTAAAACCGCTTTAATTTTCATGTATCTCTTTCTATCTCTCTATTTCTCGCACGTACCTCTCTATCTCTGCATGAACAAAAATACGTGACAGAAGTTCAAAGTGAAAACAACGAGGAGTTCAACTGCTACACTGAATACATTTTGGAAGAGAATAAAAGAATACAAAATTAAAAGACTAAAAGTTTTGTTGCAAGAAGTTCACGTGCTTCTCCCTGCACGATTCAAAATTTCTAGTGCGGGATATCCGTCATTCATTTGCATGTTAAAAAAAAGGTAAAAGCAACGTTCTTCTAGACGTTTCTAAAACTATTCGCAAATGGCAACGAATTTGTGACAACTATCTACATGAAAATGTTCTCCTATTTATAATCTTTCCAACGGTATATTATATGATTCACTCCAATGAACGGTTTAAAAGTTTCATTTATACCATTACAAACAAGTGTTTATGTATTCAGAAAAATATATTTAACCGTCGTGAATAAGAAGAAATGATCAATACGGGGACGTTGTCCGTTTCCAACAGCTTTCCATCGGCATATCGTTCGCTCAATTCCGATGAGTGGTTGGGGATCTACGGGCAAAAACTAGCACGTGACAGCCATGTTCGAGAAGTTCAACTTCTTCACGGAGTGCGTTTTTGAAGACTCTATTTTCGCAATGAAGACATAATGCATGATCTAGTCGGTTTCAAAATAACTTTAAAACGGCTGGGAATTAGAAAAACTTTCTATAAGAAAACGTTTCGCATTTTCATTAGCTTTCGGACGGTATATTATTTGCCTCGTTCTGATAAATTTTGTGAAAACACGGGAAAAATATGATTTCTGCCATTTTCAAAATTGAGATAAAACTGTAGATAATTGGGAGAAATAGTCTATACATGAAAGTTACGCATTTCCTCGGGCTTTCCAACAACATATCATTTGCTGCATTCCAACAAACCATTGTGAAACTTTGGCCATTTTCTAAATTACTTTTAAACAGTTTGAAATTGGAACAAACTTTTTATATAAAAAGGAGCGCATTTTCATAAGCTTTCCAACACCATATCAAAAATCAGATGAGCCGTTTTGGAATTAACTCAAAAATACAAACTCGGCTCTTTGGTTTCAGAAAGTCCACCATTTTTCAAATTGCTCTTTAACCGTAGGTAATTTGGGAAAACTTTCGATATGTGAAACGAGCAGATTTGCAGCAGATTTCCAACACCTTATCATTTGCCTCATTCCGATAAACGATTTAGAAATAGGCTCGAAAATACAATTCACGTTTATTTGTGTGAAGAAAAAGGTTTGCCACACTGCTCTTAAACAGTGTAGATTTTGCCAAAAATTCAACTGAGGTTGTGATCTTCATGTCCACAAGTTTCCAATGGCATATCGCAAGCCCATTTGGACAATGCTTGCGGAAGTTCAACGTGTCCCTAGGTGCAGTTCAACTACTATAGCTGCGTCGGGGTTCGTCTTCGTGGCGAGACTCAGCTCGGTTCCAGCCAACCGCGAGATCAGGACGACGTGGCTTCCGGTGAAAATCACGCCTGACTGCGGTCATGGCAGACGATGGCGGCGTCTCGGACGTTGTTCCCTTCTCGAGGCATCGTCGTTGCATGTCACGTCAACCTGATCGAAAGGTTCCAGGGGAAACCCTAGGTCTGGATCTACCGGATCGGACGATGGCGACGTTTCGATGTCATTCTCCCTCCCGGGGGCATCGTTTTGGAGTAAGTGTTGGCTGGAGGGGACAAGGGGAGGAGCGGCGTGATATCTGACACGTCGATAATGGCGGGTCTCAGTGGCATGGAGCAGCGGGGTCTCGCCGGTGGGCGTGTGATGATGGACGAATGCAGGATGGTGATGTTGTCTGGCGTCGTGGTGGCATTGACGGCAGCTAGACCGGGCAAAGTACATGCAGCAGTACAGCAATAAAGATGGATTGGTGGCAGGTGGCTGCGGCGGCCTCATACCAGGCAGGCGACCTGTTTGAGGAGCACGCCGGACTGATGTGTGTCCATACCCGGCAGGCGTCCTGGTTGGGACCTCAGGTCTTAGATATTAGATTTGACAGCAATGTCTGTTTGGTATTAGTTCTAGACTATCAGCGCCCCTTCATCAACTGGATAGGAGTAGCAACAGATGTTGTTTAGTCGATGGCTTTAATCTTACTGTTGTATGACTTTGTAAGGTCTTGTGTTAATAATTAATAAAATGACCGTATGCATCGTTCAGATACAGAGGCCGGGGTCTCTCCTTTTAAAAAAAAAACCTGCGCGCCACGCCCGTCGATCGTCTTGTTGTTGTTCACGGCGAGCTCTTCCTTCGTCTCCTCACGCGCGTGTGGCGTACGGACGGACGAGTCGATCGACTAGCGAGGTACGTTCCGCGTTATTTTTTCTTTTTTTTTTTGGATTTTGGCCGGGTCGTACGTCCACTCAACTCAACTAATCCATCGACCGCCTGCACCAAACGTGGCAAGTCGAATGGGAGAAATAAATAACTTTCTGTTTCGTCTCGCCCAAAACAGAGTCCTACGCCGCCCCGCGCATTGCCCGCCGTAGCTTCGTCTTCCTCGCCTCCCCTCCGCCATGCCTCTCCCACCTTCCTTCGTACTATGGCGCCGCCAATCCCGGCCGGCGTTATTTTCAAGATCCCCAAAGCTGCTCCAGTCCCACCCAAGCAGCAGCAACTCCGATTGATTCCGCCGCCGTGCCCGATTACACGCACGACGTCGTCGATGCATGCTCTCGTCCCACCCGGACAACTCAATGACCTCCCTCACCAAGTTTCTTCCTTCGCGAGCTCTCTGCCCACCATCGCTATCCCCCAACGCCGAGCTCAAGTTCCACCACGGCCGAGGAAACCCGACCTTAACAGATTCAAAAGGATCCTCTTTTTGTTTCACCAACACGACACAAGATGGACAACGCCGTCGAGTCGAGTTGAGCCTCGTTCACTCCATCCACCTTGTTGTGACGTCCGTTGCTTCCCTCCCCGTTCAGGGAAGACGCGACCTCCGATCAACAAAACATGGCAGCCCCCACGCTTCCAAGCAAAGAAGCGGCCTCTAATTTTCTCCGGTTCCTCCCACGCCCAATTTCACTCGAGCCGACGACAACCCAATCTCTTTCCCCACCGTGGCTGCCCGCCCGCCCGATTCCACGCACACCGTCCTCCATGATCTCGTGCCGGACAACAACACTGACCCTGAGTCCTGTAAGACAATAGGCTTTGGAGGAAACCGGCACAACCCTCTAGGGGTGGCCTATCACATATATATATAATGAGGTGGTATACAACGTTACAATATACACATGTAAATACAGTCTAACACCCTGCCTCAATCTTAGCCACTTTCTAATGAATCTAGAAGGGTAAGATTGCGCCTGCAAGTCTAAAACTGTGGCGAAGGCAATGGCTTGGTGAATATGTCAGCAAGTTGATCTTTGGAAGAAATAAACTTGATCTGTAGTTGCTTCTGAGAGACACGTTCACGCACAAAGTGATAGTCAACTTCAATGTGTTTCGTTCGGGCATGGAATACCGGATTTGCAGAAAGGTATGTAGCACCGATGTTATCACACCAAAGAACAGGAGGCTGTGATTGGGGTATACTTAACTCCTGAAGCAAGGACTGTACCCAGATAATCTCTGATGTGGCATTGGCCACAGCCTTATACTCAGCCTCAGTACTGCTACGCGAGACAGTAGCCTGTTTCCGAGCACACTCC